TTATATTTTTGTATATTGTAAACAAAAAATCAAGTCTGTTGTCAAAAACAATAAAAATAAAAAATAAAAAAAATGTTAAAAAACTAGAATAATAAATATCTAATGCAAAACTAATTTGTTTCTTCAAGCATAAATTTTAGAAAATGACATTTATCTGAGCAAGGGAAGTGTATAGCGCTGTTTTTGTACAGCTGCCCACATCTAGAGAGTCACAGACTATACCTTCCTGAAATATATGTGGTTTTATTATATTTTGTAAACTTTGCTCATTTACCTGAGACGCTGGCCGACTTAAATGAGCAATTCAAAGTTTATAAAAGTTTGCCAATTGCTTTAAGTTTAAGGTATTTAAGCTAACTAATCTCAGTCGCCTTTGGGTCTACAAAACTATGTCGCTATATAGTATAGAATTTTCTTAAAGCTGACGCAATTTAGGCTGTAATTCAATGGGACTAACACAGCAATAAAATGTATTTCGAATTAATTAACTTGGCTTCAACTCAGCTGTAAATGATGATTGGGAATAAAAGCTAAACTAGAATTGTATACCTACCTACATACCATGGTAAACTGAATAAATATAGATTTCCAGCTTCACTTCAAAGGCATTTGCACAATATAATGAAAAGTAAGTCGATCAATTAATTTGAAAAGCCCGTTGCTAATGTTCGTTTGGTACGCTTTCCGCACATTATGCCATTTGCGATTAGGGAACAGCTTCAAGTGCTTGGCAAATGATTCACCTGAAACCCACAACAATGGCACACACACACACACACACACACACATACACACACACAGTCAGACGTACAGTGAGGTGTTGTCGTTAGGCATTACGTTTGGCAATAGCAATGCCATTACTATTGGACATTATAACCCCACGGGGGCATATTGTGGGCCCCGGTAGCTGGATGCGGCTGCTCTCTGGCATTGTCTCTGGCCGTCGCAAATATGGCACAGCGAGGCGACAATTGTTGTCTCCGAAGAGTCGCGCTGCGCAGTCGCACTGCAGACATTCGTTCTAATCAATAAAACTAACGAGCGGATTAAGATTATGTTGCACTACAGAGACGGCCCACAGCGACGGCCAAAAGCGGCGCACGCGCATCCCAAAATGGTCTGGCGGCCTAATGAATTGCAACTGGCAACTGGCAACTGGCAATGGGCAACGTGCAACGTGCAACGAAATCAAAATGCAGTCAGCTCATCTGCGGTGCAGCTGATGCTGCTGCTTGCTGCTTGCTGGATGTGACAATGACAGTTGTTGTTCGTCATGTTTGGGGCATGTAGCTCCACTCGACTCGACTCGACTCCACTTCACTCCACTCCACTCGACTCGACTCGCCTCGCCGCTTTGTGTTGTAATTGCAGACGCCACACGTTTGCAGCCGCTGTTTGATTTGGCAAATGCAACGGTTCGACATGGATATCGAGCCAACTTGAAGATCTTTCAGCGATCACTTCTCATGCGACTCACGCGCCAGAGTTGGCATGACAAAACTTTCTGAGCAAGAGCGAGAACAGTGGCAGCTCCCTTCACCTGCTGCCCGAGCGGCCAAAAGGGCCGAAATATTTTCGACACATTGGCAAAACGACGCTGTATGTTCGGTTTGGTGTTAATTAAGTGGCAATTGTTATGCTTCAGGCGTGAACCGTGAGAATTTAATGGATTAGACAAATAGACAGCTTTAGGCTGGCCGCACTCCCTACCCCATTGGCCATGATGTGGCTATGGCTATCAATCATCAGCAGCTTTGCCCGACTGCTGCTGCTGCTGCTGCTGCTGCTGCTGCTGCTGTTAACTGTTTACAACTGGCGACAAGTTGAACTACCAGGAAGCAATGACCAAGCAGAGACCACCAGGCGCGAGACGCAAAGACCCTCAGAGACCACAGAGAGACCGAGAGACTAGACCAGCCGACCAGCCGGCCAGCCGGCCAGCCGACCTGGCCATGTAATTAACGGCACGCAAAAAGTGTTGCCAACACATACATGGACATTGGCACATCGAATAGGGGGGCCCGCAGCCATGGACACGCATGTAAACATTACCATTTTTGGCTAAAGACGCGACAGCTGTCGAGGGCCCCTGCACCGCAGGGAGGGGGGCTGGGGCCACCCAGCTAGCTCATAATTGAGTTACAATCGAGTTCAAAGTCAAATCGTAGCAAGTGCCTGCTCGGCTTTCATTTAGCCTCTTATGACTAATTAGTTTTGCTCTTGGTCTTACTTTTACTTTTTTGTTATCCCTGTATATATATAGCTTTTTTTAGCTTCTTTTTTTTTGTGGCTGCATATAAAAAGGTTTCCCATCATTTGGCTTTCATTATGCAGCGTTGCGCGGCCACCGAATTCCAGAGGTTTGCGTTGGCTCAGGCGAGCGGGCGGGCGGGTGCGGTGCGGGGTGCAGCCAGCGCCTGGGTGCCCACTACGAAAATTCGCAGCGCAACGGATGCGAATATCTTTAGTTGTTATTGTGGTTGTTGTTGGTGTTGTTGTTGCTCATTCAGCGCACTTTTGAGAGC